GGTCCACAGTTAGGTTGTAAAGTATAATGCACCGAGAGATGGTTAGTGGTTTCCCCATTTCTGAAGCAAAGGATACAAATATGAGGTAAGAGACATCAGTTCTTCTGCTTATTCTGAAGCCTTTCACAGGTGTTAATGATTTGGATGGCAGCTTCCCAACAAAAAACCTTTACTTTTGGAGGAATAGGGCTGCCCCAAACTTCTTTTGCAGGGAAAGGGTTTGGTTCATGATATTGAAGAAAGGTTTGGAAGAAAGAGGCATAAGAGAACATCCCATTAGAGTTGGGTTCTCACACACTCTCATCCATTTTTAAGGGATCTGATGAGGGGTGATTTGGCCCTCCAGTGATATCCCGCCACAAGGCACCTCTGAACCATTGCATAACACCTTGGTGTCACGTAGGCAGTGACGTGTCTGTACCAAGCTAGTTGGATTCACCTCGAAGCCTCCTTGGACGCACCTCAGACGCCCAGCATTACCTCGGCACCTTGGCTAGGGACGGCTTTATGTGGCGTATGCACCTTGGCAGGATCAGACTAGGGACCTTGGCAAGAGGGTGACCTCCCTCCGAAGAGTAACCAATCAGACCGAGGTCGGGGTGGCGACCAACTTCCACTCGTGTGGCTTATCGTCTCTAAGTCATCTGAGACCACGCTGCCTGACCGATGAGGCTGACTTCCATGCCGCCTGCTTTGGAGATAACTGCTATCCGTGTAAATCACCTCCAAGCGTGGCAAGCCAATAAACCACATCCTCCCGGGGATTTCAGATGCGCAACGTGAGACTCACGACTACCTGCGCATATTTTGCTCTTAGACTCTAGCTCTCTTGCTTTCTTGCATTCTCAACACTCATCGCTGACTTAAGTATCAGAGTGCCCACCCCAGGTACTCTGATTGTTTTCTTACAGCTCAGCCAGCCGACCTTGTCAGCTCGACGTCTGAGCTGTCCTCCAGCAGGGAGCACTAGATCGCGCACCATCAGGATTCAAACTTATTTGTTAAAGAATATCAAGAAGAGAGGTCATCTCACCCATTTCTTGCTCTCTCAAAGCTCTTCTCAAACCCAAATCCCAAACCCACCCTCTTCCATCATGAGTTACTAGGTCAACAATAGGTTTGCTTTTTAGGGTAGAAAGGTTATAGATTCATGGGATGCTTGACTAAAGATAATAGTTCCCCACCATAAGCCTTCCCAAAACTTCATCTTAGTTCCAACAATAGCATCATACCTTCTAAATTACAAGAAGGTTGGGAGTAAGGCCATAATTGCTTTCCATGGACTTAGAGTGGAATTTTTGGCAAGACCAAAATCCCAACCATTTTGATGAAGACCATGGATGCTTTTGATAACCAAATTCCACAAAGCTTCTAGTTCATTGGGAAATCTCCAAAGCCTTTTACCTAAAAGAGCCATTTTTTTTCTTTCAACTTACCTATACCTAGACCTCCGTTCTCTTTATTTTTGCACACCTGTTCCCAATTTAAGAGGTGATCTCTCTTTTCACTTCCCAAGTCCCACAGAAAATCCCTAATAATTTTTTTTTTTTTATTTTCTACACAACTTTCATGAGAGCCTTAAAGACTGTGAAGAAGTAGATAGGTAGGTTAGAAAAAGTGGGTTTAATCAAAGTCAGTCTCCCACCTATTGAGAGAGAATTCTTTTCCCAATTATCTAATTCTCTTAAGAATCTCTCAATTATTATTTCCCAAAAAGACTTATCACAAGGATTGCCTCATAGGGGAAGACCAAGGTACTTCAAAGGCTACAGCCTAATTGCATAGCCCAACATTGTAGCACACTCCTCCAGCTCTCTTTCTCCCATTTGTAACCCTACCAAACTACACTTTGCCAAATTTACCTTCAGGCTTGACACTCTTTCCACGATCTCCAAAATTCCCCTACTCCTACAGTTCTTTTCCCACATAGTCTTTTATTTTTTTCGCTAAATAAACAAATAGCATGTTCCATCTTTACAAGATGTGGTTCATCATAAGTAGACAATGTAATTGCAATTGTACCTTTCAATTCATCAACAGTCTTCAATTTCACAAATAGAGGAAGTAACTCTCAAGGTTTATCCCACTGCAGTTGTTCCATTAGCACATTAAAAGATTTTTCAACATTCACCTCTTTAACCAACTCATCAACCACTTTACCATAATCATAGTTTTCAAGGTGTCTAGGCGATTTTGGGTGACACCGGTATGCCTAGTCACCTAGGCAATAAGAATTTCATAATATAAAGAACTAACCTTTGTCTAGTTCCCTAGTTTTATATACCATTCAGCATGTATATTAATTGAAAAAATAGGGATTCTCTTTATTAAGAACATAAAATTTCTTTTAAAAATGTGGCAAATCATCACATCTAAAAGATAAAAATCTTTTACGTATATTAATTTCATCATTTTCAAAAATATTTCTACTGTAACAAGTATTTAATATAGCAATTTCATATCAATTAGCAGCTAAAGAAAGTTGTTAACTTTATATGACAAATATTCAAGATGGAAAGTAAAGTAGAAAAAACAAGGATGGAGTTTCTGTTCTATTTAATTGAAGAGAGAGAGAGAGAGAATAGAAAAAAAAAGAACCTATCTATACTTCTATTCTTTATTTCCTTCTTTAATAAGATACAAAAATGTAAATGATATTATATAAGGCGCCTGCCTTGTCATTTTTGTCGCCTAGGCTGGCGCCTAGACACCTAGCAAGGTGCCTAGTTGCTATAAGTCAAGGCATTTGGGCAAGAAGCCTAGACAAGAGTGCCTAGTCACCTAGGTGATGCCTTGGCAACTATGACCATAATGAGAGGCTGTTAACTGTACATCTGGTAAGTTCTTGGTAAATCAACCTAAGCCATAGCTTCATCTTTAAGCACAATCAAGAAGTGTATGTTAACCAAATAAAAACTACTTTTGTCAAATCTATTGTCTAGTTGAACTGAAATAGATTGAAGACATCCTTCCAACTTTGAAATTCCATGTTGTTGACTTTTTGTTCTTCACCTTTGTCTCTCACATGGGTTAGTTATCATGCCAATATCATAAAATGAGAATTCCAACTGCCTGACTTTGTCTACCATCCTATTAATCCATTGTGCATGGATAACATGGATTGTATGGACATAACAGAATGCTCATTTTTTGAAACAAAGCATCCAAGGACGACAAAAAGGAGGTGTTGAGGCAGGTGGCAGCAGAACTATTTTTTATGTACTTTTGTACATGGTTGAGAATATAGTTGCTTGAAAAGATCACAATGGGGAAATGAATTCCATTATGTAGTTGCCTACTGTACATAGGGTAATAGATTCACACTTCACTTCTTTGACAATTCAACATAGTGAAAACAATTATAAACAAAAGGGAACCAGCAACTCTTTTTGGTTCCTACCTGATTCCTATAAAAGAATTTGATCTATTGAGCCTATTCATTTTTCTCATCTACATCCCTCTTTTTTTCAACCTCTCTTGATGGTTCCTCACCTCTTCCACACAAGAAAGGAAAATATCCATTTCCTCCCAAGGTAAGGACATTCATGTGATAAGAAGCTAGTGGGAAGATAAGGTTCTATTCTCCCATATTTGGTTATTGACATTTTGTTCCCAAAGGAAGTTATTATTGTATTTCATCAATTTCAATACTTGAAGGAAGGCCAGACTTAATTGCTAAAATCAACTAAAAATGATGTAGTAGGACTAATCTTGAAATGTCAAGCAATATGATGCAGATATGATCTCTCTAGAGGATGCTTCCCCAAGCAATTTTCCAGACTGTGGAGAGAAAAGGAAATAAAAAGATATGGAACAACATTGTTATCATTTTGTATTTCATAACAGAGACATGTATTGTGTTGAGGCCTCAAGTTGTTAAATATTGATGGCATTGTCCTTTTCTTTTCCCATATGTGCTTGGTAATGCAGTTTTTCCATTAATTCCATTCAATTGACGAACCTCCTAGAACAATAAAAATTAAGCAAAACTCAGAAATAAGAAGATAACATCCATGCTATTAGGACTGTTGGAGTAAAGGAATTCTGAACCACAGACAAAGTGATTCTGAAAACCAAATATTTCAACACCAGAGGAACAACATCAAACTATCCTAACCACAATGGACAACCCAAAATTGTGTAACTCCTCTATGACCCACAAACTTCCTCTATTTTTCACATTTCTCCCTCTACTTCTAGATCCCTATCCTCTGCCACCTTGCACAGATGGACTTTTCAGCACCAACTTGAAGCTCTGGTCCTATTCTGTAGTAGAATTATGATCTTGCATACCTCTAATTTTCTGCCACCTCTTTCTTACAATCTCTTGAAGAACTATACAGTGTGACGTTTACCCTTAAGCGAATATATCACCTAAATACCTCCTAAGTTGTGCTGATGTCTGCAACTGTAATCTTACCCAACCTCTTCAAAATCTTGAAATGATAATAGGTAAACCACGGTAAACTTCATCTTCCTCAAGAACCACCACTGCAAGATGACTCTCTTCTAAAGTTTGTGAAGGGAATGCCCACTCAATGTGGAAGTGGGGCAAACCATGGTAAGATTCAACTGCCTCTTCATCAGACACTTGAAAAAAAGAGATCCATTTGGTCTTTAGTCTCTGTTAGAGTCAATAATTCACTAATATGCATGTAACTTTGACATGGCTATGATTCACAAGGTTGACTTACTTTACAATTCATGACCAAAGTTAGGCACTATAAGGTTAATTCATGGGCAAGTAAAATTGAGGAATCTATATAGAAACAATGAAGGAAATAATGTTCAGTTCAGTTTGTGGTTTTCCATACTTTGGATGACTTGAGATTGTTTGGACACAGGTCTTAAGTCCATTACACTTCAGTACACATTTATGTTTTTGCTTAATTGTAAGAAAGTTCACTAAATATCATAATAAAATGGTACAAAAACATGCTTGGACTATTACAGGCAAACGAGTAAACTGAAATATGTTTTATTTTCATTAGATGTGCTACCTGATGGACATCATTTACAGGGATATGAAATGTGCTGTTTGAAAAGATGGAATATTCATGTGGTTTTCCTGGGTATTTCTCATGTGAACTTGATGCCAGATAGAGAACCCCACTCCCCTTCAGGACAATAAATACTTCTTCACAGGAGTGCCTATGAATAGGTGTCCGTGATCCAGGAGCAAATGTTTGCAGCCATACCTCAACCTGCAATGATATTGGAAACTCTCAACAAAGTAATGATTGCAAAATTATTTTTCCCATATATTTTTTTTTGATAAATATTATTTTTTTCCATATTTTGTGGAGGAAGAAACGTGTGCCACACATATAATTGGAAGTGCAGAATCTGCAACTTCTCCATTGCAGAAATTTGCCACAAAATTTGCTTCCAAGATCATTCTTACCGTGCTTAATGCTGTGCACAGGAAAATTTTACTAAAGATTAAAGCAATACCTCTTTCATCCCATGCAAAAGTGAACCTGCAACAGTAATATGTGATAAGCCTCCTCTTCCATAGTTACTCTGTGGAAGTTCACTAATATTCCTCACTAACGGTATTCCTGCAATAAGAACAATAAGAAGTCATATTCAAATAGATTGGACGAATATAGTGTATGCTAGTCCCGAGAATATCGATCGCAACTCCCACCATGCTAATCAATAACTATGATTTATTTTACGCTTTTGGCTTAGCTCTTCTATTCCTTATATGCTGCAACTACTCGCTAAAAAACCCAAAAAGAACAAACAAGTTTGTATATAACCCAGTAATTACAGTCCGTAAATGGGTCAATAGATCCACTGCATAGAAATAGAAAATGCGTGAAAGAATAGAATTTCTAGTTCTACTGGACATGATAAGTAAACAGAACATTTGTCAACTACAGAATTCATCAATTCAAAAATCTCGATATATTTATATTTTTGTAATGAATAAATAAGTCCAAAGCCAATTACAGCAACCAGGAAACTCAATAGCACGAACAACAAGGTAATCCAAAACAAAGAACTGCAGAAGAAAAAAAAAATCAAGCGCAAACACAAGACCAGAATATGAAAATGAAAAAAAAAAAAAAGATAATTAAGATGGAATTCACCTTTGGTGGAGCAGAAAGAAGCTTCAGCAGTAACAGACAACAAAAGGAAAAGGAGAGGAATGAAATAAGATCCGCTCATCTTCTTTCGTCACTCACCAGCAGCAACGATTACAGATTAGTGAATGGGTCTTCTTCGAGTTCCCCTTACCCATATATTATACCGGGCCCGGGAAGATGCCGATTGGCGATTGCCAATGGCACGAATACTTTGCTACTTCGCTTTGCGCAGAGTTTACTTCCGCCCCTGTACTTCAATTTGCGACACAGTCCCCTGAACTTTTACATTGTGACAAATATGCCCTCAGCCGTTAAGTTAGATGACGGAAGGCGTTAAATTATCAAAATGCCCCATTAAATTTTCTCTATTTTTTTTTCTTAGCATTTTTTCTTAAAACCTGACCCAAATGGAGATATGTTGCTTCAACAAAGCAACCGGAAAAACAACATATTCTGATTTTCGAGGCAAATCGTATCGTCTCGGCCACCAGATCCCTGAATATCATTCGTTCGATGTCCAACACCATCTACGGCCATATCCTTGCAGAGAGCAGTTTGCAGATGATCTCCACCAGGTGTCGGATGTATCCTTGCGGAGCACCCCCATCCCTTGATGTCGTCTCAGGCCATATCTTCAAAAACAGATCTTTCAAGTTGTGTCTCAATGAAAGTTTTTGCTGCCCCGTCGTTTTCATTGCACCTCTCTGCCTTTCAAATGTGCTAAATGTATTGCCAATGTTTTCCAACAATACTGACTCACATTTTTTTGAGTTTTGAGAATCTTTGCTCTTTGATAAATTAATATTTTCACTTTCAATTCAAGCCTTTCTCCATACTTAATTAGCTTTTCAGGAGAATGTTTAAATATCAACTCAGTACATTGTTTGATCCATGAGAAAGGGGTAGAGCTAGGAGGTGAAACACCACCTCGCCCCTGTTTAGAATCCAAATGCAATCCATCATGAGCAGTCCCTCCATATGGACGTAAATCTAGATCAGAGTCTTTTACAACTTTTTTCAAGATTTGACAAGTTTTTGCCAGCAACTTTTAGTCTGCTAGGCTTCAGATCTCCTTGCATGTCGGATAGGGCAATAGTTTCTAAGACAATTTTCAAATCCTCCAATTTTTTAAGATGGCTCTATTTGAGCATCAATTTCCTTTCTGCATGCAATAATTCTCTCTGTCTCTTCAATTTTTCACTTTGGATCTGCAATTCTTCAATAGACTTCCTTAGCTCAACCTACTCATTTTCCTTACGATCACGATCCATGTTTTTTCTCGCTTCATAGGGCTACATAACAGGGGTTCCCTCAACAGAGGGGGGTTTTTGTCTAACGGCTAGAGTTAGGGGATCTTGTTCATAAATTAAAGTATAGGGGTCTTTGTCACTAACCCCACAGGGGTCTTTGTATTTTACCCTTAAAAATAAAAACAAATTTTTTAAGCTACCCTTATTATTTAATTAATTAACTAACTCTACTCTTTCTCTTTAATTACTCTACTCTTACTCTTTTATTATTGTCTTAAACCACCTTACTGTTTGTGACAATTGCTATTATCATTAAATCATAATGGAAAAGGATAAAATGTCCTTTTTACCCTCAAATCCTTCTTCTCCAACCTCTTCTCACTCTCTTATTTCTCAAGATTCTTCACCTCTCTCCTGTACAAGTCTCCTCTTCTTCTCTCCTATAGACGCCATTATTGACTGATTCATGCAAGCAATCCACTTCATTGAACTTGTAGGAGTATGTGTTGCAAAAAGAGACCTATTCCATCAACAGTGTTTAGCTCCTCCGGTACCATCATAGACACATGCATTGTCATCACTTGGTTGCCATCGTTGGCTTATGTGGCTCATCAGCTTTCCGACAAGCAATGTAAGATGTGAATGACGACTCGGGATTGTCATCACTTGGGGGTGCCTGGGATTGTTGTTGCAGAGAACCCAACTCTAGTATAAATAAACAGCAACAGACAGACATTAGAACCAGCGGGGACACCACCAACCTTTCTCTCTCTCTCTTGCTCCTCACCATCGACCTCATTCCAACCACCACCATTGCAACTCAAACCAGCAGCGACACCACCGACATAAGTTTGCATCAATCAGCGCATGTAGTAGTAATGACACAAAAAATGCTGGATCTATTTCACTTGTCTGGGATCGTCCACTTTGGTATCACTGGCAACGTCAACAGCTCCCTGTCCACCGGAGACGTCATCCAAAAGCAGTTCGCACACACAGGCATATGGGATTGGATGGTTTGTTCATGTCATCTTTGATCTCTCTCTCTCTCACTGTTGCAACTCAAACCAGCGGTGACAGTTGCTCTCTCTCTCTCTCTCACTGTTGCAACTCAAACCAGCGGTGACAGTTGCTCTCTCGTTCCCTCCACTTCTCTTTCTCTCTCTTCTCATATTGTTTTTCTCCACTCTCCTTCCTGGTGTTTCAACAATGGAGAGATAAAGCTCCACCACCACGAAACATAGCAGGTCTGAGCACAGGGAGTGTGATGCCTAGTTATGGGTTGCGATGTGCAGATCGGAAACGGGGTGATCACAACGATCTGTGTGAGGGAAAGAGATAAGAAAGGAGGTTCAGTTCGATGCTAATGCCTGGTTTTGGGTTGCGATGTGCAAACCGGAAAAGGGGTTTGGACTAAGATCTGGGTCTCGATCACCAAATTCCGACGAACTTTGAACAATGCCGAAGGAGCGGCATGAGTTTGAGATCTAGACTATATCTGACCGCGAAATTGATTTCGGAGAGGGATACTCAGATCTGAGATCCGGTGAGGGAGATGGAATGGAGTCTCAAATCTAAGATCCAGTGAAGGCGACGACATGGAGTCTTAGATCTAAGATCTGGTGAGGGAGGTTGTGTGGAGTCTCAAATCTGAGATCTAGTGGGGGAGATGGCATGGAGTCAGAGAGAGATGGTATGGAGCCTCAGATTTGAGATCTGAGAGATACTCATATCTGAGATTTGGACTGGATCCGAGCCGGAGGAGCATGGAGTCTGTGTAGATTTTCTGGTTAATCTCTGTTAGAGCAGTCCACTGTGCGGGGAAAGAGGTGAGGAGAGAGAGAGATTTGAAGGTGTATTTTTGGAATTTTTGAAAAAATATGAGTTACGTGATGTCATATGTCATTAAGTGTGACGATCAGTAGGGGAGGTTTTAATCAATTATCAGAAGGGGTCTAAGATAATAGTTTAACAGTAAGGATAGAATTAGTCAATTAACTAAACAGTAGGGGTAGTTAAAGAAATTTGCTCAAAATAAAAAGAAGGGTAAATTGCTAAAAGTTCTTCTAAAGTTTCTGATTGTTGCTGAAACCTCCCCTGAAGTTTAGTAATTGCAATAACCTCTCTTGAACCTTCTACATAGTTGCAAGTAGACTCTTGTAGAATTTTCTAAAAAGAATGCTTGGAAATGTCTAAAATACCCATACAATTACTTTTAACAAAAATGCTTGTTTTCCAAATCTTCTGTTCATATGAATTACTACCCCAAACCCTTCCAATCTTTTTTCTGAAATTGGTTTATTTTCCAAATTTGCCATTCATAACAATCACTCAAAGGTAAAGTTGCAACTTTAAATTCTTTTTGCTTTTGTTGTTCGTAAAGTTTAGATTGTTTTTTCGTAGTGGACCTGGTAAAAAGTTGACCTAACTTGCAAACCCGACCTAGCCTGGTCCAACCCAAAAAATAGGGACAGGGTCTCATAGTTAGCTACCCAAATGTGAGAATGACCTGCTCTCGCTTGACCTGACCTAGAAAAACTGGGCTGGGTTGGGTCATGGGTTAATCCACCAACCCGATTGTCACGTTCAATTGGGACTATTTATGTATTGTTAGAAGTTTCTACTCTTTAATCTTTACTATTTAGTCTTTGCACTTATATCATTTATTCTTTGAATTGTTGAATGTTCCAAGTTTTTAATTTTTTTTTTAAATTTTAAGGTTAATTCCTTTATTTTGACACTTTTTCCTATATTTTTATAATTTCTAATTATTTTTAGGGATAACCCGAATTGACCTATGGGTCAACCCTAACTCGAATAGTTAGGATTAGGGTTAGGGTCTAGCATTTCCTGACCCAACCCGAAATCAACATGAAGTATCTTGACCCAACCTGAACTCGACCCGACCCAACCCAATTGCTAGGTTTATTCCATAGAAACCAGCCACAGTAGTAAATGCATGGGTGTTTTGGACTTTTTCATGCCTTTTTTAGAAGATTCTATTAGAGGGGTCTACTTGATATTGTATTAGAAAAATTCAGAGGAGGTGATTGCAATTACTAAACTTCAAGGGAGGTTTCAGCAACAGTCAAAAACATTAGAGGAGGTTGTTTCAACAATTTACCCTAAAAAGAATTTACTTCCACTCTTTAAACAAAATAAAAAAGGGTAAAATACAAAAACCTCCCCTCAAGTTTTTGACAATCATAAAAATATCCCCTATAGTTTTATTTTAATAAATACTTCCCATGAACTTTTGAGAAATTCAACAAAAACCTCCCTTCCATCATCTTTCCTGACAAAAAATGTTAACATAATGCATCAGTTTTTTCCAAATACCAATTCTACCAGTTTATAAATTATTTTGCACACAAAAGTATAGAAATAACCATGCTTTAACTTGACAAAAACCTCCTTTAATGGTCATCTTCTAATTTTTTTGTCAAGTTAAAACAAGGTTATTTCAGTAATTTTGTATGTAAAATAATTTATAAAAGGGTAAAAAGGGTATTTGGAAAAAACTAGTGCATCAATCTAACATTTTCTGTCTGAAAAGGTGATAGAAGGGAGGTTTTTGTCAAGTTTCTTAAAAATTCAAGGGAGGAACTTGTTAAAATGAAACTATAGGGGAGGTTTTTATGATTGTCAGAAACTTCAGGGGAGATTTTTGTATTTTACCCTAAAAAAAGGTAAAATATAAAAACTTCTCTTAAGTTTTCTGACAATCTTATTAACCTCCCCTAGGTTTTGACCATGACAAAAGCTTTCCCTAACCTTTTCGAAAATGAGTATAAATACCCCCTTCCATTGGTTTTATTGAAGGAAAACGTTAATGTAATGCATTAATAATTCTAAAATACCAAATTTAACCTTGATGTGGGTTTTTTGTAATTGATGTTTGGAACCCTGGCCGTTTTTCAATAAAATGGTGCCACATTGGATCCATATAGTCGTTTCAACAAATGC